GGGCCCCGCGGCGAAAGGCCCCGCAAGGGCCCGCCGCCTGGGGCGCCCTGCCGCGAGCTGCTCGCGAAGTCCTGCAGCGCCCGCTGGCCCGTGGAGCCGCGCCTCGGCGAGCGCGATCGGCCGAGGGAAGGGCGCGTCGCCGCAATCATCCTCGAGCCGAGGCGGCGGCTGGCGACCGAGATCAACGTCCACTGGGCGATCAGCTGAGGGAGCAAGTGCGGTGTGAAAGTGACGAGCATGATGAGACGACGATGGGTCATATCTCCTGCTGGGCTCGTCCGCCGCGTTCCACTCCGAAGGAATCCACCGACAAGAAACACGTGCTCCGAGGGCCAGGCTCATTGCGCAAAACTCGCGGCACCTCCGCAGCAGGTACCACGACGAGCTCCGCCCCTTGCACGAGGTGAAGACCCAGGCCATTGAGTCAGACAAAACTAACTGCCGCACCTGAGCGCTCTGGCGGCTGCGGGCCAGCCGCCTGACCTGCCAGAGGGCTGCCTCCGCCTCCAGCGCTAGGATCTTGTCCTTGCGCCTCCAGCGGCGAGCTGCCACCGCGCCCCAGTCGTCGCCGCGCGCCAGGGCCGACGGCACCTCCTCGAAGGCGGAGCGCAACCCCAGCGCACGCAGCTGCTCGGACGAGGCGTCGGCGATGTCGCTCAGCGAGGGCTCAGCCCCCTCCCCCTCGACCAGGCAGCGCGGGCGGCGGGAGGTGCGGAACGCCCCGCGGCACCGCCCCCGCTCCGAGGCGCGGCCAACGCGGCCCACCTCGGCGGGGGGCCAGAGCTTCTCGGCGACGCCGAAGCCGTGCAGCGAGGCGTCGACCGAGGCGACTGCGGGAGACCAGGGCAGGCTCATGTCGGCGACGGCGAGCGGCAGCAGCGCCCAGGCAGCTCGGAGCTCGCGCCGCACAGAGGCCCACACCCGTGCCGGCTGCCCGCAGTAGCGGTCGGCGAAGACGTACACGGCCGAGAAGATGGACAGCATCTCCGGCCGCAGCAGCATGATGGCAGAGGCATGTCCGACGGCGCGAGCAATCTGACGCCCCGTGCGGCGCTGTCGACCCCAGCCCAGTGTGCGGAGGGCTAGTGCGACCTTCCAGAACTTCCTCGCCGTCGGCCGCCACTGAGCGCCCGTCGAGTCCAGCTCGAACCCGAGCAACGGTGCGCCGGCAGGCTCTGGCGAGGCGTCAACTCCAGCGGCCGCCACGGCGTCCAGCATGTGCTCCAGGCGAGCGTTCGCCTCCGCGGCGCTCGTGCCAAGGGCCGCGAAGTCGTCGATGTAGATGAGCGAGGCCCCCGAGCCAGGGCAGACGGGATCGCGCGGCACGCACTGGGGCAGCCAGCGGTCCGCCGGGGCGCAGGGGCGAAGGATCTCCATCATGACATGCTGTATGAAGTAGACAGCCCATGACCAGCCCATCGGCACCACTCTGAGGCGCAGGCGCACCATGCCATCAGGCGGGCGCGCCCCAACCAGCTGGCGAGCGGCGAGCGGCAGCGCGGCCCAGGGCGCAGGCGGCAGGCCGAAGGCCTCACGCAGGTGCACTGGAAGCAAGAACTGGTAGAAGCAGCACGTGACGTCGCCCTGGGCCACGAAGAGGCGCCCCCCCGCCTGCAGCTCGATGCTGCCGAGGGCCTGCGCCGCTGCCAAGGGGACGTAGTCGGGCTCCGCGAACTCCGTGTTCGAGGCCCTGGTGTCGAAGATCAGCCTGAGGGCCCCGTCCTTCTTGCGCGCGAAGAAGGGCGCCACCTGCGAAAACGAAGTGCCAAACTCGAGCATGTCACGCTCGAGGAGATCAGCCACAAACTTCCCATAAGTGCGAGGATTGCTTGCCAGCCTTCGATCATAAGCCAATTTCGCCAACGACGAAGAAGATGTGGAGCCCCTCGTCAGCAAGGTGCCAGACTCACCCATCAGCAAGGAGCGGGGCCCCGCCGGCAGTGCAGCAGCTAGCTCCACCGCGCCGGAGGCCACGCGCGGAAGTGAGACCTTCCCGCGCTGGTAGGTGGCGTACTTCCCGCTGGCCATGTCGTCAAATCCATAGCCAGGATCGGAGCCGATCACGGCGCGCGTGGCCGACGCCGGCGGCCAGGTCCGTCGGGCAGCTGGGCGCGGCGGCGCAGGAGCTGCGAAGCCGCTCCAGCGCGTCGGTCTGGGGGCCAGAGGCTGCTCCAGCCCGCCGAACAGCGCCGCGCCCTCCCATCTCATTGAGGGTCTGCAGTCCTGCCGAGAGCCACTCCGAGCCCAGCGCATCCCCATGGCGCGGTGCAGGCGAGGCGGGCTCTGGCAGAGGCAGCAGGTCCCTGGGATCTGCCGCAAGACCTGGCGGCATAGCGGCGGCGCAAGCGCTCAGCCGCCTCCCCTGGTGGTGTAGAAGCGGCGCCCAGCCGGGGGGGCTCCAGGGCCGCTGCAGGATAGCGCGGGAGTGGGAGGCGTCAGCCCTGCCCCCCCGAGCCAGCGCCCGGGGTGCCAGTCTGGCCGTCCTTGCCCTTCTTGTTGTCCTTGAGCTTCTTCTTGTGGTCGGCGCCGAACGTCTGGCCAGCGCCGCCGCCGCCGCCGCCGCCGCCCGAGGCCGCCGCCGCCAGAGCCCGCTCCTCGCGGCCCTTGCGGCGCTCCTTGAGCACGGCAGCCTGCTCCTCCATGCGCTTCGCCACCCAGCGCTCCAGCTCGGGCGAGATGAGCGCGTAGCCCTTGGCGCGGTCGCCGCCGAGGAACAAGTGCCTCTCCGCCGCGAGTCCCGCCGCCACCGAGCCCTCCGTGGAGGCGCGGATCCGCTCCTGGTACCGCTCCTCCCAGAGCTGGTAACGGCGGGCCATGCTCTCGAAGCAGGCCAAGTTGCAGATGTTGAGCTGGTCGTACTGCAGCCCGTGCTGGAGGCACTCCGAGAAGAAGAGGTGCTCGTCGATCCCTGGGTCCGATGAGGTCGCCCCAAGCGCCTGCCTCCACCAATGGTGGCGTGGCACCGGGGCCATGCCGCTGTTGGCGAAGGCCTCGATGAGCCACTGCACAGTGCGGGGGCCCTCCACGGGCCAGGCGTCGTCCAGGACCTCCTCGCGCAGCAGGTGACGTGCTGACTCGAAGCTGCGGGTGCGCTCCCCGCGCACGTTGTACTCGACCGCCAGGGTGCGAATGTCCTCCGTCGCAGCCGCCTCGCCCTCGCCAGCTGGCAACGGCGTCGGCGGGTCGCGGCACAGACGGTACCACACTCCCTCACGGCGCAGCAGGGCCTGGCCCGAGACGCCGAAGGCGATGTCCGAGTCGCGGATGGTGACGCTCTCACCGCGCCTGCGGGGGCCCTGGTTCTCGCCGACGAACCACTCGGAGCCCACGAGGCAAGTGTGGGCCGCCAGCGAGTCGGGGTCGTAGAAGGCGGGGTCCACGTCAGCAGCAGGCACCAGCGCGCCGGCCGCGGGGGCAGGCACGGCGCCGGTGTCGGCGATAGGCGCGGGCCCCCGCCCCCCTCCATCGGCCGCTGGAGGTGCGCCAGCCCAGCCAGCCAGGTAGGCCTCGGCCCTCCGGCGGAAGGCGCTGGCGTCGGCGATGTCCCCAGGGCGGAAGGCGTAGCGGAATGCCTTGTGCCCCGAAAGGCGGTTCGGAATGCCACCAGCAACACCACTAGGCAGCGCATCCTCGTAGTCCTCCAGCAGCTCCTCGTGCACGTCGCCGTCTGGCGTGAGCACCACGTGGCCGCCTGCGGTGCGGCGCAGGACGAGGCGCTCGTGCCAGACCCCCTCCGACGAGTCGAACAGGGCCCAAAAGCGGCGCCCCGCTGCCACAGCGAGGCCATCTGCCATCAGGCGAGCGGAGGAGCTCCGCCTTCAAGCCTGCCGCGCGCTCCTGCCGGCAGCGTCAGCTGCTTGGTCGCCTCCAGGCCCGCGGCCACCCCAAACGGAGACGACGGCCTCGGCGGCGTCCACCAGCGGGCCGCGCACCAGCCCGTCACGAGCTGCCCCACCGCGACGGCGAGCAGCTGGGCGGTGGACCAGCCAGGGGACCCGCAGTCGCACTGGCAGCCGCAGATGGGCGCGGGGGGCGCGGCACGCGCCAGAAGGCAGAAGGAGCCGATGGAGAAGGCGCAGGCGACTGTGGACGGGTCGACCGGCATCCTTGTCCGGACAGAAAAAGGCTTGAGAGACAGTGTCCATGGCGATCGTCAACATTACCATTGACATTAGCATCACCGCCGCGTGCACCACGAGCCCCCAGAGCCCCATCGCCGCGCGCCCCCCTCCCTGCGCGCGAGCGTGGTCTCGGACAAACACAGCCCACCGGCACAACCTTAGGTCTCGAGCCCGAGTGGCCGCAGAGATCAAAATGGGAAACCCCAAAGTCCCCACTCCCGCCGCACATAACCTGCAGTCTAAGAGGACACACTACACAATGCCCTGCTTCCCTTGGCGCCCAGTGTGGGGGCAACGGGGGTATGGATCGAACGTCGATGGTCGACCGAGGCCCGGCAACGGGCCCCCGCTGGGGGCGCGCGATCCCGGCGCGCGGCCCGCCGCCGAGGGCGGTCCCAGGGGGGCCTCGTCTCAGGAGGATCGGGGATCGGGTTGTGTTTGATGTCTTTTTACCTTTCCTCGGAGCACGGCGAGCTGAGACGACGGCAGCTCAGAATCGATCCCGTTGGACCTTCCCGAGGTCCATGCGCACCACCTGCGTCCAGCCGTGGCGACGAGGGCACGGGAACAAAACATGTCATAAACAAAACAGCTTGGAGGTCCGCGCGGATTTTTCGGATCGGCGCTGGACACATTTCCCTGGCGCGCGAAGCGCGCCAAGGGCGGCGCCTGAAGTCTAGCGCCGATCCGAAGAATGAGCGCGGGCCTCCGACTTATCGATACGTTTATGGCATTGCGCGTTCCTCTACGAAGGGACCCCCCGAAAACCAGCTGCCGCCGCTTCAGCTCGCCCTCCTCTGGGCTGCCTCCCCCCGCCGAAGGGCCGGCAAGGATCGTGGCCGGCGGCGGGCGGGCGGCCCTGCGGGTCCCCCGAGGGTCCTCCCGGTGCGCCGCCCACCAGGTGCGCTGCGTCTCGGTGCGCGCTGGGGTGCCCGGGTCCTCTCGCGCGGACGTTGGGCGGAGGTCGTCGCCGTCGTCGTCGCCGTCGTCAGCGTCGTCGTCGCCAACGCGGCGGCGCCATCGTCCTGCGAGCCGCGTGCGGCGGCCTGCGTGTCTGGCTGCCGCGCCGCGCCCGCGCCCGCGCCCGCCGCTTCCGGCAGGCGGTCGGCCAGCCGTAGCCGCACCACGCCTCCTCGGGGAGGCGGGGGGCGGGGGGCGCCGACGACGACGACGACGACGTCGACAACGACGACGACGCCGACGCTGACAACGCAGACGACGATAACTGACAACGCACACGACGACGAAGACGACGAAGACGCCGACGCCGACGACGCCGACGACGGCGGCGGCGGCGACGACGACGACGACACCGCCACCGCCGCCGCCAACGATGACGCATACGCCGACGACGCCGACAACGCCGACGACGACAACGACACCGACGACGATGACGACGACCACGACGACGCCAACGACGCCGACGCCGACGACGCCGACGACGACGCCGACGACGACGCCGACGCCGACGACGGCGACGACGACGCCGACGACAACGCCGACGCCGACGACGACAATGACGAGACGACCGCGACGCTGATGACGACAACAACGTCGACGACGCCGACGACGCCGACGCCGACGACGACGTCGACGCCGACGACGCCGACGACGGCGGCGGCGGCGACGACGACGACACCGCCGCCGCCGACAATGACGACGACGCCGACACCGACGACGTCGACGACGCCGACGACGACGACGACACCGACGACGATGACGACGCCCACGACGCCGACGACGACGCCGACGACGACACCGACGACGACGACGACCACCACCACCACGCAGACGCTGACGTCGACGATACGACAACGACGCTGATGACAACAACAACAACAAAAAAAACAAAAACAACAACAACAACACCAACAACAACAACAACAACAACAACAACAACAACAACAACAACACCAACAACAACAGCAACAACAACAGCAACAGCACCAACAACAACAACAACAACAACAACAACAACAACATCAACAACAACGTCGACGACGCTGACGACGACGACGCTGACGACGACGCCGACGTCGACGCCGACGACGACGTCGACGAAGACGCCGACGCCGACGACGCCGACGCCGGCGACGACGCCAGCGACGGCGCCGACGACGACGCCGACGACGCCGACGACGAAGACGGCAGCGACGAAGAAGACGATAACGACGATGCCAACGACGACGACCACGCCGACGCCGCCGCCGACGACTCCGACAACGATGGCGCCCACGCCGACGCCGACGCCGCCGCCGACGACTACAACGACTCCGACACAACGCCAACGCCGACGCCGACGACGCCGACGACGACGCCGACGACGACGACGACGGAGGCGACGACGACGCCGCGGACGCCGACGCCGACGTCGACGAAGACGCCGACGCCGACGACGCCGACGCCGGCGACGACGCCAGCGACGACGCCGACGACGACGCCGACGACGCCGACGACGAAGACGGCAGCGACGAAGAAGACGATAACGACGATGCCAACGACGACGACCACGCCGACGCCGCCGCCGACGACTCCGACAGCGATGGCGCCCACGCCGACGCCGACGCCGCCGCCGACGACTACAACGACGCCGACACAACGCCAACGCCGACGCCGACGACGCCGACGACGACGCCGACGACGACGACGACGGAGGCGACGACGACGCCGCCGACGCCGACGACGACGCCGACTCCGAAGACGACGCCGACGACGCGGACGCCGACGCCGGCGACGACGATGACGACCACTCCCACGACGATGACGTCGACGACTACGACACCGACGACCGACGACGCCGCCGACAACGACGCCCACAACGACGCCGACGACGACGCCGACAACGACGCCGACGACGCCGACGCCGACGCCGACGACGACGACGCCGACGCCGCCGACGCAGACGACGACGCCGGCAGCGACGTCGCCGACGAGAACGACGACGCCGACGCTGGCGACGACGCCAACGACGACGCCGACAACGCCGACGACGGCAACGACGACGCCGACGACCACAACAACGACGACGGCGGCGACGCCGACGAAGAAGAGGCAGACGCCGACGACGACCGCGTCGACGACGACGACAACGCCGCCGACGACGACGACGCCGACGAAGACGCCGAATATGGCGACGACGCCGACGTCGACGACGACGACCCCGACTAGGCAGCCGACGACGACGACAACGACGCCGACGCCGACGACGAGACGAGGACGGCGGCGGCGGCGGCGTTCGCGGAAGCGGCAGTTGACGCGACGACGACGCCGACAACGACGCCGACGACGACGACGACGCCGCCGCCGCCGACGACGACGCCGACGCCGACGACGCCGACGAGAACGACGACGCATACGCTGACGACGACGCCAACGACGACGCCGACAACGCCGACGACGGCCACGACGACGCCGACGACCACGACAACGACGACGGCGGCGACGCCGACGACGACGACGCAGACGCCGAAAACGTCCGCGTCGACAACGACGACAACGCCGCCGACGACGACGCCGCCGACGACGCCGAAGATAGCGACGACGCCGACGCCGACGACGAAGATGACGACCCCGACTAGGCCGCCGACGACGACGACGACAACAACGACGCCGACGCCGACGACGACGAGACGAGGGCGGCGGCGGCGTTCGCGGCAGCGGCAGTTGACGCGGCGACGGCGCCGACAACAACGACAACGACGCCGACGACGACGACGCCGACGCCGTCGCCGCCACCGCCGCCGACGACGACGACAACGACGACAACGACGTCGACGCTGACGACGCCGACGCAGTCGCCGCCGCCGCCGACGACGACGACACCGACGCCGACGCCGACGACGACGACCCCGACGCCGACGACGACGACGCCGACGACAACGCAACGACGACGGCGGCGACGACGACTACGACGATAACGCGGCGGCGACGACACCGACGACGACGCCGACGACGGCGCCGACGCCGATGGCGGAGGCGACGACGACGCCGCCTACGACGACGACGCCGACGGCGACGACGCTGACGTCGACGCCGACGACGACGACAACGACGGCGACGACGCCGACGACGACGCCGACAACGCCGGCGCCGACGACGCCGACGCCGACGCCGACGACGACGCCGACGCCGACGCTGACGACGCCGACGACGACAACGCCGCCGACGGCGACGACCCCGACGACGACGACCGCGCCGACGCCGACGACACCGACGACGACTCCGACGACGACGATGGCGACGCCGATGACGCCGACGACGCCGACGACGCCGCCGACGACGACGACGACGACGAGAAGAGGACGGCGGAGGCGGCGTCGATGAGACGACGACGTCGCCGACGACGACGGCGCCGATGCCGACGTCGACCACGACGCCGCCGACCTTGACGCCGACGACGACGCCGACGAGACGAGGACGGCGGCGACTGCGGGCGGTCGCGGCCACGGCCGCGGCATTGACGACGACGGCGGCGACGTTGACGCGACGACGCCGCCGACGACGACGGCGCGGCGGCGACGACGACGACGCCGACGACGACGCCGACGACGACGCCGACGACGGCGAGGCGAGGGCGGCGGCGACTGCGGGCGGTCGCGGCCACGGCCGCGGCGTTGACGACGACGACGGCGACGACGACGACGCCGACGACAACGACGACGCTGCCGCCGACGCCGACGACGACAGTGCCAACGACGACGACGGCGGCGACGTTGACGCCGCGAAGGCGACGACGACGACAACGACGCCGACGACGACGAGACGAGGACGGCGGCGGCTGCGGGCGGTCGCGGCCGCGGCCGTCGCGTTGACGACGACGACGGCGGCGACGTTGACGCGACGACGGCGGCGACGACGACGGCGACGCCGACAACGCCGACGACGAGGCCGACACCGACGACGACAACGAGGCCGACGCCGACGACGACGACGACGATGACGACGACGACGGCGACGCCGACGACTACGACGCCGACGACGACGCCGACGACGACGATGACGACGACGACGCCGGCGGCTACGACGCCGACGCCGGCGACGACGACGCCGACGCCGACGACGATGCTGACGCTGACGACGCCGACGCTGATGTCTACGACGACGACGACGCCGCCGCCGACGACGACGACGGCGACGCCGACATCATCATCATCATCATCATCATCATCATGACGCAACCTGGAGCGACGCTGAAGCCCTGGCTGTCTAGATTCTGCACTGTCGAAACAGGAAGACCTGTGTGGCCACAGGCAAGCCAGACTCTACCGGGGAAAAGACGAGGGACCAAATTCCCCCCCGAGTCGATCTGAGAATTAGGTGACTAGAGGAACGGCCTACAACTACAAGGTCGGAATTTGTTAATTTCAGCAGCAAGCTCAGCATACTGTCGGACACTCAAGATAATCCAGTGGTGCTGTGGGTCCGTTTTCGCCTCTTCACTTTACTCCCGAACCCCGATTTTCTCCAGGTCAACTAATCATCCAGCGAAGCTCTCCACTTCTCGGAATCCCAGGCTACCGTTTTCCAATTTACCCCATAATATTGATAAAACTGATTCTCCCACCTCCATACATGGAAATTATAATGATGTCCCTGGCTTCGCAGGGTCCGCTCAGGAAACTGAAGGTATCCGTAGTCTTTATACTTCAGGGCAAGGCTTGCAACACTCTTAGGATCATACTAGTGCATCCTGGCGACATGGCCCGCCCACCGATGACCCAAAGACAAATCGAAATCGCCCCACGGCACAACATTGCGCCTGCTCATCCGATTTTTCGACAGGCGGTGTAAGCGAGACACGCAGGATGCCAATGTCCTCTTCGCCGAGCTTTCGAAGGCCGATCACGTACCTGAGCAACCTGGTCTGAGCGGCCCTTACCATGCTCAAGTGGTGCCGGGTCAAATTCAAACCGCCGAAACAAAAAAAATGATGCCTGTCGAACCGCCGAGTCAAGAAGCCCGAGACGCTTCCCCATATTGGTCTTTTTGTTGCAGAGAATAGCTTTGTGCTTGGCCCAAGCAACCCAAGCCCTGCGAATTCCTCTTCGAACAGTCTCGGAGGCACCATTGTCCATGGTGGTCCATGCGCCCAGCATGCGGAAACCTTCGCTCCTAGGGGTCCTTGACACAAGT